ATCACATACAGGCAGTCCCCGAGTTACGTGGATCCGACTTATGTCGGATCCGCACTTACGAATGGGGCTCTCTCGCCCCGGAGCTCGCAGGTAGCAATCCGCTACCTCGACCTCCGGGGCGAGAAAGCCCCGTTCGTAAGTGCGGATCCGACATAAGTCGGATCCGCGTAAGTCGGGGACTGCCTGTACTTTCATCTGTTAAAGCCAGGGGTGGGCAATAATTTTTGACTGGGGGCCACCTCAGAAATTTTTGAAGTGGCCAGGGCTGCCCTGGAAGGAGCATGGCCTCAGATGGAAGGGACACTTCCCTGCATCCCCCCACCCCACAGACCCTGACTGGTCCTTGAATGGGGAAGCGTGTAAAGTCTTTGCTCCCTCTTCCCCAAGAGAGAACCGCCAGCTCTCCTGTGCCCCCTCCCAGGTCAATCAGGACCTGGGGGTGGGAGGAGCAGGCAAAGTCTGCCCCCACCCTGCAAAGGAGCACTGCACTTAGTCACCTGCCAGCTGAGCAGTAGCTGGTGGTTGACTGAGTGCTGAGCCCCTTGCAGGGTGGGAGGAAACATTGCATGCTCCCCCATCACTCCCAGGCCAATCAGGGCTTGGGGACAAGGAGCGCGCACAAAGTCTCCTCCTGTCCTGCCCCCATCCTGCAAGGAACATGCCGTGCTTCTAAACACCATGTGCTCCTTACAGGGCAGGGGCATGGCAGGAAGAGACTTTGTGTGCTTCCCTCCACCCTCAGGGCACAAAGTCTCCTCCTGTCCTGCCCCCATCCTGCAAGAAACATGCCGTGCTTCTAAACACCATGTGCTCCTTACAGGGCAGGGGCATGGCAGGAATCACTCCTGTGTGCTTCCCTCCACCCTCAGGCCCTGATTCCCTTCACCACCAGGCAGACCTCTGTGGGCCAGATCAACATGCTTGGTGGGCCGGATCTGGCCTGTGGAGGCCCTTTTGCCTACCCCTGGTTTAAACTATCCTCAAGGGTTTTAAATGAAATTGTCTCACTTCCTCCTTTTTTCCCCTATTTGTTTGCTTTCCATTTACCCTACTATTCTTTGGACTTTTTCCTTTTTCTTCTGCAAACAAGTTTTTATGCTTCATGATGATTTCTCTCACAACTCTCCTGTAGTTTTATATTTCATATCTTTGGAAAGGTGAATACAGTGCCAAGGGAGGTGGTGGAATCTCCCTCTCTGGAGATATTTAAGAACAGGTTAGATAGACATCTGTCAGGGATGGTGTAGGTGGAGCTTGGTCCTGCCTTGAGGGCGGGGGGCTGGACTCGATGACCTCTTGAGGTCCCTTCCAGTCCTATTATTCTATGATTCTATGACTTGAAACTAAAAGACCGCAGTTACTAATTCCTGGAATATTTAAAGCACAAAAAAGGTAGGATGATCTTGCAACTAAGATATTAGGCTGGAACCAGATTTTCAGAGTCCAATTCCTAGCTTTTTCAATGATTTCCTGTATGACCTTGATAAATCATGAAGGGCACATCTACACAGCAGGGCAAAAGTCAAATTAAGATACTAACTTGGCTACAGTGATTCATGCTCTTGTCACATCCCAATTGGATTATTGTAATGTGCTCTATGTGGGGCTGCCTTTGAAGAGCCTTTGGAAGCTTCAACTGGTTGAGAATGCGGCTGCTTGAGTTTTAACTAGTACTTGTTATATGGAACACATATGCTGGTGCTCCAGTAGCTGCGTTCACTTCTGGTATGTTTCCGAGCACAATTCAAGGTCTTGGTTTTGACACAAATTCCTAAATGGGTTGGGACCAGGGTATCTGAAGGACTGTCTCCTCCTATACGAACCTGCCCTGGGATTGAGATCTGCTGGGGAGGCTCTGCTCCGTGTTCCTTCACTTATGGAGATAAGGTTGACATCTACGTGGAAGAGGGCTGTCTCAGCCTTTGCCCCCAGGCTATGGAATTCTCTCCCCTGGGACATTTGCCTGGCACCAGCGCTGGCATTGTTTCAGTGCCCGGCCAAGGCCACACTTTTACCTGTGCTTTTATTGGTGTTTAGGTCTCTGTGTCCCTCCTCTTGAGGTGTTTTAGCAGATTTTATGTTCTCCCCACTTTGGAAGTCTTGTATTTTACTTTATGTACATTTATTTATTATGTTTTAAAAAATTTTCTAAGCCACCTCGAATATTTTAAATAGAGAGGCTGGGTAAAAGTGTTTTAAACAAACAAACACACAAACTTCAGCTACGTCAATTGCATAGCTGAAGTCAAAATAGCTTAATTCGGCTTTTGGTGCTGTCTACACAGAAGGAAGTTGAATGAAGGACCAACTTCCTTCGACTTCCCTTACTCCTCGTGAAAAGAGAGTTACAGGAGTAGGGGTAAGAAGTCTGCCATCTTGACATTATTTTGAAATGGTTCTCTGTTTTGACACACACTATGTTATTTTGAAATATCAATTATTCCAAAATAACGCTGCTGTGTAGACTACCTTAGCTTCTTGTGCCTCAGTTCCCCTGTGTAAAGTAGGAATGTCTGACTTGCCCATACTAAACTTATGAGGAAGGGTCTGTGTCTCTTACTGTGTCTTTTAGAAGGCTTTAGAAGAAGAGGCTCTGATCTCAAAATGTTGTCTCTAGATGCTACTGTAACACACATAATTTAGAATATTTACAGTTAATCAGAACTACATGATATTGCTGCTGAAGGAGAAATGGTCATGAATAGAACTGAAAAGCCAACTGGACTTATTAGACTGATGGAGCACAAAGAAACCAGACTGAGCAGAACAAGAGTTACATCTCATCCTTGCTCTTCCTGGTTTCCTCTTCTGCATTTATCCATTTATGTTATAAAAATTAAATTGTAGTAAATGAGTTAACTAACTAGAGCAGAGAACATAATCAATATTTTGCAATTATATATAGTGCTTGCATGGTAACTAAGCAACAGGAGAGAAGGTCCTACTGAATCTTCTTAAACTAATCTTTAAAGAAGTGAGAAAGAAAAAGATTTGAGGAGAGTAAAGCGTGCCAAATAGGCACTGGATATCTCAAATGTCAATAAAGCCAGATATGAGTTTTTTAGAATTCATATCCTGGCAGTTTTATCCTGCCGAGGCTGTTTGAAGATATTCCTTTCTGCAGCTAAAGTAGGTACCATGTTACAACGACAACAAAAAAGTCTACAATTCCTTCTCTCAGTATAGGTTAGGTATAGAGAGGGTCAAGACATTTTTGACATTTTGTTTTTAACTAAAAAAAGCTAGCTTGTCAGAAAACTTTTAATGGAACCATATTAACCACTTGTCTGTTGTTTCATTGAGGCTAAGCACTCATCAGACAGAGCATGAACTGAGACCTGGGTCTCTCATCTCATGTGAGCACATTAACCACCAGAATATTGGCTATTTGGGTTGTTGGGAGGTGGGTCTCATTTTTTGTGAAAGATTGCAAAAGGTTGTTTGGCCAGCTATAGGATGTATATTTTTAAAATCTTGAACATTTGTGGGAAAAAGATTCCTGCCTTGCTCTTGTTACATTGCTAGAGGGGGGAAAAAAAAATCAATGGTTGTGCTTAAGTAGAGAATTGCATTGCTTAGCAGCACAATGAACAAATTCATCTGCACACTTGCTATGCAAGAAAAGGTCTGGCTACTTTTTATGGATATACTCAAAGAAAGCAGTCATGAGTTTCCGCTACTGTGAAAATTCTTCAATTACCATTTATTTTCCATACTACATAACTGATTTAATTTTATATAGCCCATATAACTTCTAGTATTATTTAAGTCTAAAACCCACCATCTCATTAAGCTGTGTTCTGGTTACAAGCCATCATACCAAAACAAGTCAACTGTTTCTCCCAAGAATGACCTATGTTAATGTTCAAGCATGGACTTACTCTTTCTTCTGTGTCTTTTTACTGCTCTCATTAAGGATTTTCATCCCAGTCTGGTAAACATCCTCTGCTTCTTGCATCTGTCTTCTTTTATTAGACTGCTCTTCAGCTAAAAAAAGAAAAGAGAAAAGTGGTTTAAATCAAATGGAAGAGGTTGTTGTCTTAAAAACTGTCTGTTTCTGCATCTCTTCATGGCAGATTCTTCTTTGGCCACATGATCTTGTTAATGCTGGCCACGATACAGAGGCTGTGCAGGCAGTGAGGGAGAAAACTGTCTCAACGGGCTGTAGGGTTTTTTTATAGCAACCATTTTTGTGCCTATTCTTTCATTTATTTTTTGCTATCACCAGGCTCCTCAAAATCATCCTTTTGGAAGGTGGGGATGAAAGAGATAAAACATTCTCAGAGACAGTGGTTCCCAGCCTTTTTTATACCACAGACCAATAAACCCATTCACAAACTTTTGGTGGACTGGCATAGTTTTATTTGCATATTTATTATGCAAATAATGAATATGTAAACAAAATGTTGCCTGTCGACGAAGGCCCAACCCAGTCCCTTTCTTCCCAGTGCCTAACACCCTTTGACCCACACCACTATGCCCCATGCCCTTTGACCATTTAACCTCTGACCCCTAAAGCCCAAGCCAACATCCTCTTGCCCCATGACACCACACGCCATCACCCAACACCCCTTTGCCTCTACCGCACTCATAGAATCATAGAATAATAGGACTGGAAGGGACCTCAAGAGGTCATCGAGTCCAGCCCCCCGCCCTCAAGGCAGGACCAAGCTCCGTCTACACCATCCCTGACAGATGTCTATCTAACCTGTTCTTAAATATCTCCAGAGAGGGAGAGTCCACCACCTCCCTTGGCAATTTATTCCAATATTTGACCACCCTGACAGTTAGGAATTTTTTCCTAATGTCCAATCTAAACCTCCCCTGCTGCACTTTAAGCCCATTACTCCTTGTCCTGTCCTCAGAAACCAAGAGGAACACATTTTCTCCTTCCTCCTTGTGACACCCTTTTAGATATTTGAAAACCGCTATCATGTCCCCCCTTAATCTTCTTTTTTCCAAACTAAACAAGCCCAGTTCATGAAGCCTGGCTTCATAGGTCATGTTCTCTAAACCTTTAATCATTCTTGTCGCTCTTCTCTGTACCCTTTCCAATTTCTCCACATCTTTCTTGAAATGTGGCGCCCAGAACTGGACACAGTACTCCAGCTGAGGCCTAACGAGCGCAGAGTAGAGCGGCAGAATGACTTCACGAGTTTTGCTTACAACACACCTGTCGATACAACCTAGAATCATATTTGCTTTTTTTGCAGCAGCATCACACTGTTGACTCATATTCAACTTGTGGTCCACTATGACCCCTAGATCTCTCCCCGCCATGCTCCTTCCTAGACAGTCGCTTCCCATCTTGTATGTATGGAACTGATTGTTCCTTCCTAAGTGGAAGCAAGGCTGCTCCCCTAGGGAACGTGACCATTACTACTGAGTGGGAAGAGGGAGCAGCTATTGGCAGTGCACATGCTTCCTTCTCCTTTGTGCCCCCTCCCTCACCAAGCACATCTTGGTGTGTGGAGAGCATGGAGCCCCGGCTGGACCACCATTATTGAGAATGGTAGGGGGAGGGAGGTGCCTCCTGCTCTGCCTCCTCCTGCCACTGCCTCAGTCCCAGAGCAAAAAAAAAAAAAAAAAAAAAGCCACCACCGCTGTTGGAGATGAGCTGTTGCCAATAACCGGCTTCAGCTCTGGCAGATACTGTGCCCCAGAAATAAGCAGTTCATGGATCAGCACCAATCCACGGACTAACAGTTGAGAACCGCTGCTCAGAGACACGTTTGGCCTCCTTTCTGCAAAAGACAAAGGGTCATATTTGTGAAGCAAGCCACTGACATCAAGGGGATGCATGCAGTGAATTCTCCATGTAACTTTCAAACTGTGTCTATTAAGGTCACTTTCAGATTACATGAGCTGAGGAAATGGGCGTACCACATGATGTTGAAAGAACAGGAATCTAAACCACTAAGGTGGCTCTCCTTTTCCCGTTACTCCTACTGTGCAAACTTTATGTTTATGGAAACACTTACCCACAAGTGATAAGGAGACCATTAATCTCAGTAAATATTCTTCAATGAAAGAAAACAGAAATGTATCTGGCTACTTACTTTCACAAAAGCCCCACTTTTGATCTCTCTTGTAATCATAGGTTGTTGCACACCAAAGCCTGCCATCTTCCCTTCCATCAGCTGTACATTCTACATACTCCTTCTCCAGGAACAGGAAGGGGAAGTGGCAGGGCTCATTGTCTGCAGTGCCTCCAATAGCTGTCAAAACTGAAAAGAAACCCAGGAATGAGATCTCTTCCATGATTTTTCTCGTACGTATGTAGCAAACAAACTGTTCACCACCACAGGGGACTGTTCCCAGCACGCCAGGTTTCTGAGTTTTATTTAAACAAACTCATTAATCCTCAGTTTCATTATTTATGCAACACTACAGAGAAATGAATTAAAAGGGACATTTGTCAAATACGTCTCACATTTTCAGGTTATCCTTACTTTACAACAAGCAGTTTTAGATTATTAAAAGTCTTAACATATCAAAGCTGGAATCAGAAAATCTAAGTTAGTCTCCAGCGCCCATATATAACTTACTCCTGTACTACACTCTATAAAGACTAGTTAGATTCACATTTGTTTACAGGCAGTTTGATGTGTTGATTCTCATCTACTAATTTGTACAAAATGTCAGTTTGATACTCTAAATTCACAGGAAACATTTAGATCTAAATCTCACTCAATTTTTATGGATTTTTTAAAATATGGATGCCATTTCAATAGTTTTCATAAAAGCTTCTAATTTTATAAGCACTGCCAACTGGCACAATTTAATCGTGAGTCTCATAATTTGGTATTTTCATTAAGCTCCAATTTCTAGAGTCATGTGAATAAGAGATAGGTTGGTTTAAAGTCAAGTTAAAGAGTAAGCTTTCAGTTCTCAGAATTACACAGAAAAGCTTGAAAACATGACCCGCTAAAAGCTAAAAAATTAGAAATCTATTTTTAAAAAAGCCTTTAAATTTTGTGGTGTTTTTTTAAATTGAGCTCAACTATAATTTTTGAATGCTTGGTTGTTTCAATAATATTTTAAAGATACGTTATAGGGGAAATGTAAACAATAACTGGAAAAAATAAAGTTGTTTACATACAAGTCATCTTCCAGAATAATTAGGATCACTGCTATGCCTGAGAGTTCCAATTATTTCATTTTTGGGAAGACAATGATGTGCGAGCAAGTTAGTTGCTTGCCCAATGATACACACTAAGGCCATGTCTAGACTACAAGCTTCTTTCGAAAGAGAGTGCCTAGACTGCAACCACTTCTTTCAAAAAAGCGAGCCACTTTTTCAAAAGAGAACACCAAGGCAGTCTGGATGCTCTCTTTCAAAAAAGCCCTGTTTGCATTCAAGAATGTCTTTTTTCAAAAGAGCACTTTCGAAAAAAGGCGCTCTTCCTTGTAAAATGAGGTTTACCACGGTCAAAAAAAACCGCTGCGTTCTTCGATTTAATTTTGAAAGAACGCAGCGGCAGTCTAGACGCAGGGGAAGTTTTTTCGAAAAAAGGCCACTTTTTTCGAAAAAACCCTATAGTCTACACACACTCTAACTAGTGGCAGAATGATTTTTTTTCAGAAGGCAATATGAACACAATTATTGGCCACCCCAACAACTATCATCAGGGGCTCAGTTCAACAGTCATGAGCAATTGCCAATCCTGGAGTAGTCTGCTTAATAAAAATTGACTATGTGTATATTCAACTGTCACCTGATCCAGTACTGAATAAAACAATATCCACAAACAGTGTCCAGCAAATGTAGCACCTGTGCATGAGCCCTGCGGAAACCTTGGATTTTGTCTGTATATTTCAGTTATTGCTTTGGAAGGCCTGTCAATTTTTTCCATGACAAATAGGAAGTTTTAAAAGTTACTTTTTTGGTTTCTCCCTCTTTTAGTCATGTAGTCAAAAAGTCCCACTCCTATGTTAGTCAAAAAGCTGTGGAAGAACATTTATTTACTCTTAATTTACTTAGCATTATCCCCCTAACCTAGTTTCACAGAATACTATTCTAAAGTCTCTGACTTTAGAAAGGTATTTACGTACTAGTGACATGGCATAGTAGTATGAGAAGAGGAAAAAACTAAATCAGCTTAGGCTGCACCTGCTGAGTCAATGTACTGTAAAACTGAAACTTTGGTAGAGAACTTCTCTATCTCAAAGCTGCATAAATAGACAAATGAGGTTTCATATGAACCAATAGCAATTAACAATTTCCCCTCCTCCACTTATCAGCTCACCTTCTTGAAACTCAACAGCTTTTTACAGGCCATGACTAGAGTTTAAAGAATATAGGATTTGCCATATCAAATCAAACTACTGGTTTTCCATCAAGTCCGGTTCCTTGTCTCTAGCAGTGGAAAATACCGGATGCTTCAAAGGAAGGCAAATAAACACACCAAGCAAATCATGCAGTGCTCTTCTAGATGGTGACATTAGTTTACTACAACCTCGCTCTTACCTTACGGTATAGCTACGATATTAGTAGTCAAACATTAAGATAACCATATCCAATTTCCTTCTCCCACCCATCCTGTTTTTATTTTAAATCCAGGCAAAATGGTTGTTTCTCCCACAGTATTTTCACTAACATTCAAAACAATGCAAGATGCTACACAATTCATACACTGTGATTGTGGCTCTATTTTACTCCTATAATAGCACTACGTTTGCATGAGAGGCAAGTATAAGATGAAGTGATTTATAAACTTATAAATATTAACATATCACATATGGGCTAACAAACGTATTTACTTAGGGGACAACCGAAGTAGCTGCACATAGTCTAGTCTGGGATTCACTTGTCTTGCTATAGTAGGGAATGGTCCAGGGGAGCAGTTTAAGCATTTTTATAGTTTCCTTAAATCCTCATATTTGAACAATGTGTAGACAAAACTTTTTCATGGCATTATGATGGAAAGATAAAAGCATCTTTATTAAAGAATATTTTAAATAGAGAGGTAGGGTAAAAATAGTTTAAATAAATAAAATAATAAAACTTCACCTTCTATTCAGGGACCTGGCTGATGAAGCATGATGCTTGAATCTGAAGACTAACAACAATTGCTCATACTACTAAAAATGTATTGTTACTCACTTTTTCACTTTATTAATGCCTTTCATCTTTGTAACATGTCATGCTCATCTACAGCAACATATGCAAGTGTTCAAAAAGAATGTACAATATTTTGTATTAGCAAGACTACCGATGTTTTATAGGAAGCTACCTTTTTTTTTTTAAAGCGCATAGTGCTGGTGGAGATTAGCAGATGTTATTGGAGATAATTCTCCAACATTGCTGCTTCCTATCACCCCTCTAATCTGCATTTGTGAAAAGGTATATGAAAAGAATTGTTAGAGATAAGGTGGAAAACATTTTAAAAAGCATCTAAAGTAGAAGATCTAGATTTTCAGGATTATTTATTTTGAAATGATCAGCCAACATTATGATAGAGAAAATTAAGGCTGCAATAATCATTACATTCTTAACACCACTATTTAATTACACAATAGAGACAAATGAAGATTATTCCTGGATCCCACTAATCTCCCAAACTTTTCCAGATCCATTTTGCTTCTGTTGATTCATGAAACCGGCAGAATTCAAGCAAAGTTACCTGGTTTCTGTATTTCTACGTCTTCCAAATTCTTATTTAATAGGTTTGACATTTCAAGAGAGTTAAACTCCTCCAACACGCTCTCTTTCTCCTCTTCTTGGTTCCTAAAGCTCTCTTCATCTTCAGTATGAGAATCTGAGTCTTCGGACTCAAGAAAGATCTGACCTGCTACAACATGGGTTCCTGTGGAGTGGTCCCCCACCTTTTCTTCTGAAGGCAAGGAAGTCTAGAGAAGAAGAGAGCAGAATTTAGAAGACTAGTACTCTCACTGACTACAGGTTGGACCTTTCTAGTCCAGCACACCTGGGACCTAGCCAGAGCCAAACTAGAGATTTTGCTAGACCACAGGAGGTCAGTATTGTCTAGCAGCATTACCAATACTTCAATTGCTTGTTGGGCTCTTAGAAATTATTTAGCTCTAATTTACTCCTAAATGTCAGCAAAGAATGCCTAGAACCAGGACTGGTGGCTGTAAAGAAAACTTATGGGACAGCAGGAAAATCTGTCACACCCATGATAAGTGGATATATGGCTACCTAAAATCATGATGGATCATGGATGCTGCCAGACCAGAGAGTGTCGGATTAGAGACATTCAACCTGTACTACTATTTAATTTTTACCCCCTTTTTAATTATGTCTACCAAGAAACTGAACTTGTTATGCAAATTCTGACTCCTGAGCTTAAAATAAATGTGTTGAATGATCCACTTCCCCTTTAATTCTTAAGAAAAACTCTCTTTCTACAATGGCAATATCTCAAACTCACACACAAAATTGGTTGCTCTTCATTCATTCCGACTGTGTGTATATCACTTCAGCTTGTCTGAAAAATGGAGTTTCATTTGTGCTGATTCAGAACAAATGATCTGTTTGAAGCTAAGGCACTTAATTAAAGTCTTAGAACTATAGCAGAAAAGGAGACTAGTTCCCTTTGTACTTAAGAGAAAAAAGTGACACAGGATAGTCAAATTTGGAGATATTGGACCCAGGTGTTTATTGGAGAGCTGACTTTATAAGGCTCTCTAAAGGGAAATCCTTTATCCTAATGTCAAACAGCTAAATAAACTGAAATTTCTCCTTAGAAGAGTAAAGTTTTTCCTATGTTTTTCTGTCTTCCACCACCAGTTCTTGACTCCATTTGAGGTATTCAATCTGAACTGTAATAGGCTTTTCTGTTACATTTAATTGAAAACTTTGTAAGGGACATCAGTTGCCCTATCAATATTGTAATGTTAGCGCTCCCAACAAAGTTTCAAGTCTATCAACCTCTGACCATAAATCCTGATTCCTATCTCTGAAAATCTCCCAATTAGTAGAAAGTTAGAATGCAAGTTATCTACCATTTAGAGCAAAGAACAAGAATTGAAGACTCATGGGGTTTAGCACTAATATAGCCAAATAATGAAAAAAGAAAGACGTGGAGAAAAAAAACCCACCCTACCTGGTCTCCCTGCTGCAGTTACATCACCTGCCTCACTGGTATACTGTAAAGCTAGATTTGTGTTTATAAAAGCACTTTGATGAAAGATGCTACAAAAGTGCACTATTAAGAAAAAAGATCTTACCTCTGCACTAACCAGCTCACCAATGTTATTCCACATATACTATATTTGTAATGATTAATACTTAACACTTTAATAGAGCTAAATACTAAATTAAGTATTAATATTACTTAATCAAACCCTAAACACATGAAGTATAACAAATGTTCTTTTTTTCTTCTTCCAAAAAGAGGTGAGCTGAAGCTAAGAGACGTTAAGACACTCAATCAACATCATTGTGACGCATTTCATATTCTTTATGGAAATATGATTAAAGATATGAATATGCATAATTTGTGCGCAAGTATCATTCCTATATTTGAAATGAGAAATATGAAGTATAAACCTATTTTACTAAACAAGACATGGTAAGTGAAGGACAGTAAGTGTATGACTACACTAGCCCCCTAGTTTGAACTAGGGAGGCAAATGTAGGCATTCAAAGTTGCAAATGAAGCCCGGGATTTAAATATCCCAGGCTTTATTTGCATCTTCCCGTCCGGGCGCCATTTTTAAATCCCCTTAGTCCGAGCTAACTGCCCGCGGCTACACGTGGCTGTCAAACGTTAACTCGAACTAAGTCCTTAGTTCATGGAATGAGGTGTTAACAGTTAACTCGAACTAAGGATTTAGTTCGAGTTAACGTTTGACAGCCACGTGTAGCCGACTCGAACTAGCTCGGACTAAGGGGATTTAAAAATGGCGCCCGGATGGGAAGATGCAAATAAAGCCTGGGATATTTAAATCCCGGGCTTCATTTGCAACTTCCAATGCCTACATTAGCCTCCCTAGTTTGAACTAGGGGGCTAGTGTAGACATACCATAAGGTTATTTCAGAAACTTGATGACTCATTTATGAGGATAATGATCTGTATATAGATTTGTTTTCCCTATGAATAACAAATAAGAAGGGCTCAGAGATTCCACAAGGATATGTATTTAGGTCACCTGAGGCTGGGACACATGTTGGACATTGTTCTTTTCTACTGCAAGAATGTAAACATTTAAACTGAATACAAAGGATTCCTGCCTTTTGCAAAATCTATATAAAGGTGGGATGCCAAACAATAAAGGATTCCCAGATTGTGGGGGAAAAAAAGACAGATTAGAACTACTGTTAGGGGTAAGGTATTGCATATAACAAGTTTCTTACTAGGCTTAGCAGCCATGTTTTATTTTGTTTAGTAACATACACTGCTCTGTCTGCTATCTCTTATGACTACTTAAAGCCTACTTGTTATATTTAATAAAATCACTTCTGTTTATTAATAAGCCCAGTGTAAATAATTGTTGGGAGGGGGAATAGATGTTCATATCCCCTTTCATTGATAAAGGGAGTGAACATTTTATGAGCTTGTACTTTATAAAAACTTCATACAGAGTAAGATGGATTTGTCTGGGGTTCTGGCTTGTACTTTATAAAAACTTCATACAGAGTAAGATGGATTTGTCTGGGGTTATGGTCCTATTGGGGCTGTGCACCTGGATGCTGTGACAAGTCCCCTTGACTGAGCCTTTCCAGAACTGAGGTGATCTAAGTGTCTGCATTACTCTGAATAGGGCTATGACCCCAACTCTGTACCAATGCTG